GAGCAGAAAGTACAGAATTCCCACACACCTCCTGCACCCCTCACCCACTGCCTTCCCCATTATCTACATCCCTCACCAGAGTGGTACATTTGTTACAACTGATGAGCCCACATACACACATCATTATCACGCAAAGCCTACAGTTTGCATTAGAGTTCACTCTTGGTGATGTTCTGTGGGTTTTGACAGATTTATAATGGCATGTATCCATCATTATGCGTACAGAATTGTTTCACTGCCATAAAAATCCTCTGTGCTCTGCCCATTCATCCCTCCTTCCCCTGGCATCCACTGATCTTTTTACTGTATCCGTAGTTTTGCCTTTTCCAGAATATCATATAGTTGGAATCATACAGTATGTAACCTTTCAAGATTGACTGGCCATGCATTTTTTACATTAAAGATGGGATACAGCACTTCACTTGATTAATGTATACCTAGCATGGTTTACATATAGCTCCCCCCTGAATCCCGACCACCACCATGAATTTGCAGTGTTTTAGTTATTGTTGTTGTGTTCACCTCCAGACTGATACAGGTGTTGGTGTAAGGTTTAGGGTTAATTTTTTTCTGCCAGATTACATCGAAATTGTCAACAATATGAGGAGTGGGGACAAAACTAGATGTTTCATATATTAGTAGTTTAAACAATTCTTAAGATGCAAACAAATTTATTAAAAAACTACTTACACTTGTAGAATAAATCCTTAAAGTTGTGATTGTTTGAGTAATAATTTTCATTTCAGTCTACTTCAGCAGGATGAATAAAATAAAATTATCCAGCCTAAGTTATATTCCCTGTTCTTGGACTCTCTTTTCTCTGTACCCTTTTGCTCTTTGCTCTTCCTATATCTGAGATAAGGTGTCCATTTCCTTTCTCAATATTAATCTATGTTTTCTGTCTCATCCATTACCACCAAAATAGTTAATGGAATTCTGCTTTATGTTCATGTCAATCCACTGGTAGTAATTGTCTGAAGTGTTGTATTGAAAAGAACTCTGTATTGCTTAGAATAATAGCTGTTTAACAAGCTTCCAAATGTATCATGTCTCTAAAACAAGTAGAAGATTCTAATTAACCTACAGCTCCAAACATGAGTTTTACTTCTCATCATTTATTCATAACTCATGCTAATTCAGTCTACTGGATCTGCCATATTAACGTTAGACTTTCAAAAAAACTCAAGCCACCAAACGGGAAAGAACACGGAGAATAGCACATAGGAGATTTTTGTGGGCCAGTTCTGGATGGTCATATCATTTATTTTCTCAGTCCATCAGTACTAGACCTCAAGCCTACAGAATTCCAAAGGAGACTTGGAAAAGTAGTACTAAGGAAAAATAGAAATTTTGGTTGCCGGTTAGCTGCTCACTGACACATTAAATCTGAGCTTTGCAGGAAACTGTTGTGTTATATTAGAAGAGAGGACCATATGGACTGGGTTGCCTGGACAATCTGGGTTCATGCCTTATTGTAATAATTAATAGTCCCACTTCACTCTCAAAAATCTCCTTGTATATATAATAAATGATGCAGTCATTTTATGTATTGTATATACTCTCCATGGGGAATGTCTTTCCAAAGCTTTCCCTGAGGCTTTAAATATTCAATGCTACTCCGTCTTAAGACATATATTTTAGACATTTGCCTCCACCACTCCTTCCTTCTTGACTACCACGTTTCGGTAGACTTTCGTCTTGTTATAAATACAATATTTATATAATTCTGTCACCCCATCAGACTATCATCCAGACTTTCTTTGTTTTATTGCCAGATTTTTCATATATGTAGATGGTAAACACAGCTTCTTACTTCTTTGTAATTACTTTATCTTTAACTTCTTTGTAAATAGAATCTGTGGCCATCACTGAACAAAAGAACGCTTTAAATGAACACCAATGATTTCCAAAGACCAAGGTGAATATCTTTTAGAGGTTTTCTTCTTCGTCAATCCGCACAGCACTTGGCATTATCAATTCTTCCCTCTACTTTGAAATCTCCTCCTTCTTCCTATAATTGTAAACTGTTTTGGCCCTATACCTACTTTTCTGCCTCCTTTTCTCTTTCCTTTTTAAATTCTGCTATTACTATATTTTTTAATGAGCATTTCCTCAAGGTTAGCCATGTCTCTTCTTTAGTTAGGAATATTTTGTTGTTACTTTTGTTCTGAGAAGTGGAATTTGTTGTTCTTCCGAGGAGCTGTTGTAAAAGCGATTTCATAAATCCTTTGGTGTTTTGATGTTATATAGAGATTCTATAATCCGACAACCCCTTGTGCGTAGGTCTTAGACTTTTCTCTCTTAAAAACACTGGCAGCAGTGGGCAAGTGCCAGGTGTTCATACAATCAGAGGTCAATATGAAGCAAATCAGTAGACTTCCAAGGAAGGATGAAAATAAGACACAAAAAAGCAACATCAACAGCAATAACAAGAAAAGTCTTAATAAATGAGATGCCAAGACATTAAAATGAGTGTGATTAATATAACAAGAGAAATAAGGTGATATTATTCTAGAAACAAGAACAATCACGTTTTTGAAAAGGGCTGACCAGGAATTTAAGTGTTGATTATTTAACCATCACTCATTTGTGCTATTTTACCTGCTGATAGTAAAATGTACTTGTTCAGCTATTTCCGCATGTGACTAAGCAGAAGACAAACTCACTCCTTTTTCTAGTATGAGCCTGTCATTCATCTATGCTGATTATTTCATTCTATTTTCTAGTAAACTGGCTTAATTCTTTGCAATCCGGTTTAGTGGGAGGCTTTATAGTTTATACCCCAGGGATATTGGGGTGACTTTTTCGTTCACGTCTGTTTTGTCTTACTGATTTGTTTTCCTTTCTCATTCCTCCTGAACTTGAAAGTGTTTAGTTTCAAACTCGACTGGCTGCCATTTTAAAACCTTGAGGGAAAACAGGCTGAAAATCATGCAAACGTCTAAGAGAAGAGTAAAACAAAACAAAACAAAGAAGCAGAAAAGCAAAACAAACAATGCGACGAAGGGGAAGTTGGAGGCAAAACTGAGCCAATTTCTATTTCTCAAAGCTGAAAGTACCCTAACCGGTACAGAAATGGAAACAATGCTTGTTATGATAAATCCTAGCTGTGATGGATATAAATGAAAAGTAAACCATTGAAGCAGGAGATGGAGCAAAGCAGTGCTCCCAGAACATAGCATGAATATGTAAAGATTTGTAAACGTTTACCTATGTAATATTTAAATTGCAAAAATGTAAGTTTTTATATAATATTTTGTTATGTTACAGAGAATTGGGGAAAGGGAAAGTTTTTGTAACTATGTTGCCATCATGTGTAGAATAACCCTTGGTCTTTTTGTACTAAACCATATTATGTAAGCAAACAATGTTTCCGAAATATTTTACCATAAACATAGAAGATCCAAAGTACATAAAGACACAGTTTGTGGGGAAAAAATTAATTTCCTTTTAAGGGCCTTGATCTTTTCATTCTGTGCCTCCTACTGAGTTGGCTTTGTCCATTTTATTTTCTGCAAAAAATAGAATTCTTTGAGATTTGAATTTAATTACCATAGATTTGAGTAAATGTTTAATCTCATCTTTGGAATTATATAACATATTTCATTCTTAACAATGTATACTTGAATAGTTGTGTTTTCTATTTTGCTTTTTTTCAAAAAAACAGATTTTTTTCAGATCTTTATACAGAATAAGATGTTTGAAAAATTCTGTTTTCTAATTTATGTTTCTATTATGATTTTCAATTTTTCCATCAGACGTTTTTTAGATTTGTTTCACTAATTTTCTTTCTGTCTTCACTTAAAGATCAATTTCCTTTATTTTTATTTCTCTCTCTGTATATGATATGTAACGATATATGTATAATATATATAATAAGCATATATGTGCTTAATAACAATTTAGTTATTGAATCTGCATAGAGTTGTTTTATAATTTCATACTTGCCTTTTTTCTTTATCATATATGCCAATAAAATTATTCTATCCAAAGATCAAGAAATATGTTGGTAGTCTCATTCAAAACTATTTTAAAAATATATATTTGGTTACTTGGAAATAAATATTTCACATTAATTTCTATGTTTTGCTTTTCATTAAATGTAAAACTTACTAGGTTTTTGTGTTCATGTTTAAACCAAGCCAAATAAAAGTATATCTTTGGGGGGCTTTTGCTAATTGGTAGTATCATCTTCACTTGTGCAGTGCAATTTATATTAGTTTAGATTCTATCTGCAGCTTTTGAATGTAGAGTAGAAATGTGTGATAGGTGCTACTTGCACACGTGCGCACACATACACACACACGCACATACATGCACTCACATACCATCATACTCTCACAGTCTCACAGATCTGTTAATGGACTAATTGAATAATTGGTTGAATAAATTAATAAAGAAAATATTGCATCATTAATAATTAAAATCAATTTGTGTATTATACTTATTGCAGTCTAAATATATAGCAATTACTTGATCAATAATATGCTGATTTTGATATTATGCAATTCAAACTTTTTCCTGATTTCCTGAAAGTACTTTATGTATGAAAAGCTCCAAATGATGCTTTTCTTATAAAATTTATTCCATTAGTCTATCATATATTCTGCAAAACATTATTTGCATACATCTGTTTATTTGGGAGACCAAGAGCAAAATCGTATTTCTCTCTGACTCAGTCATATGGCTGATATTTAATTAAAAACAAAAACTGATTATAAACTAATGATTCAGAACATCCCCCTAGGGGATCAGAGAGGAAAAGCTGACATAATGTGACAGATGCTTCCTTTGAACCACTGGTCACAGGAAACACATTCTAAATATGAAAAGTCAATTTATTCTCAGAAAACATATTACTGGTGTAGTAAAAACAAAATTAAACAAATAATCTTTGAAGGAGGGCAACATCAGGGTTATGAATAGTAAATCACTGATATTTGAACTGGAAAAAATAAATGAATAGTATGCTTCATCAATTGTTCATTTCTCTTTGACAGTGGCTTACAACAGAAGAAAATCAGAAGTCTTTGCAACGGAGGCTGATGCATTTTTAGAAGCCAGAAGGTAAGCAGAAGCCTCAGTCAGTGGATGTTCTTAATGCTTTCTGTCCATGCAACGTATTTCAATTAAGTCGAGGTACTTGTGATGTAGTAAGATAATTTAAAAGAAAAACTGCCATTTATATTTCATGTCAAAATTTTTCTGTATGTAATCATTCACATTGAATTTATATATGTCAGAAATGCAAAAATGGGGGAAAATAGAGAAGATAAATTTTTTTTTTATCAACAAATGATAGAATGTTGGACTTTAGGACAAATTAAGTGTTATTAATAGTTGCATAGACAAGACATATCTGTGCACAGAACCAAAAGATATTAAAATCTATTCTAAAATTTGACATGCAAAAAAAGCAAATTACTAAGGAAGGAGAAGCTGATGGAGAACAATGGAGATAAAACAAATTATATGATCTATATGAATGAGTCTTGAGTGTATTTGTGCTTTCTTGATCAATAGGATAAGAATAAATTTCTACAGGATATAATTTGTAGATGTGTCAAAAGCCACTGTTGTTAGACCCTAATCTAACCTGTTTTCAAGTCCTTTTTTCTTGCCTTCCAGCAAGAGATACCCAAGTACCAAGATTTTGGCTGACATAAGTTCTGATATACTTTTCCTGGAATGTATTTTAACCTTCCTGATATAGTCACATCCCTTTCTTTTCTTCTTTCTTTCTACTGGAATACAGATACTGCAGCAGAGATATAGGATTCATATCGAGGCTACGTAATAATAAAATTGAGAACAGGAAAAGAGAATCATATAGATACAGGCCTGGTATAGTTCATCCACTGAACTGACAGTCTTAACAATGCTTGTCCTCATCTTCCAGAATCTCATCCTTTAACATTAGCTTATTCCATTATCTTCAGACTAAACCATACAAGATAACCAGAACGAGGTTTTGTTTTTTCTTTTGGCTCAGTTTCACTAGTTATAAGTAGATAATATAATTGTAGAATTGTTCAAGGAACAGTTGATAACGCAAGGGCAAATGATAGTGTAAGGAAATATTGAAGCTAAATAATGTAAGGAGAAATTTGCTAAGCAATATTAGGGGGCAAGATCTCTGGGAGCAGACAGCCAGGCTTGGATTCAACGCAGCCAAAAATAGCCCCTTATCCGGGAAGTACACTGCTGAATTCTCACCTCTGCCACTACTCAGCACCAATTTAACAACTTATAAAGTATGGCAGCCTGGGGCACTGATGACTCCTGCACCCAGAGGCCAGGAACTTTGTCTCTACAGCTCTTGATTTGATGAACATTTCCAGTGCCTGGAATAGGCGGAAGATAAATTCCTCAAATCAAATTCTTTTTTATGTTCATTTTTTGTATCGACAGCTCACCTGGATGTATCAAATAAGTGAAACTTATGTCACCCATTAGTACCTTAGCAGAAATGATAACTAAGAGAGTAAATTTTCTAGTTTCCACCTTGTAAATCAGGACTTATAAGAGAAGTCATCCTCTAAAGATTACAATAGTATTCGAAAGATTCTTGGGAGTCAGAAAACAACAAATTACTACTTTCATGGCAGAGAAATTCTAATTCTCCCTTTTCTACTTTATAAAATATTTGTTCAAAGTTCCATGGAAATATTTATTATGAATATGGATATTAAAATTATCTTAGAGAAGTTTCTTTATACATTTAAGCATATGTGGATATGTGTATGTGTATATCAGTATATGTGTGTATATATATATAAAATAGATATATAACATATATTCGCCTAAACTAACTAGCTTTGCTGAAAAAAAAAGAATGACATTGACATAATAACCTACAAATTAATATTGACAGAAGTTTTGCTAAGAGAAAAATATATTCTGTAATACAAGTGAAAATGCTTTGTTTAGACTGGAGGCCCAGACTACAGATAAAAAAGCACCCCCTTCCCCAGAAAGATGTGGTGCCTGATAATAGTGTGAAAGCTAAGAGTTACGGACTCAAATTCTGGTTATCAGTTTTATTTCAGATGACATCCAAGTAAGTAATTAAAAATATCACATAGTTAAAGATTTCATTTAAATTTTATTTTAACATTCCAGGAGAAGAACATGCTTGCTTATGAGCCCCAGAGGGCTACTGAATACTGCCATATTATCAGTTGAGATCTCTATCTTAAGGGGAACAAATAACAAGGGCAAATGATCAAATCATTTTCCCCTTTTCATTTCCCTTTAACAGTATTATTCTCTGTGAATATAGAAGTTGGTTCTGTGTTTGTGTCACTATAGTCCTTAAGTTGTCCTTGGGGGAAAACTGGGTAGTACAAGTTATTATAAATTTAACTGTAAAATTGTGTTCAAACCCAACATAAGCACATGCATACTGTTGTGTATGTTTCTTGTTGTGTTCCATAGTGAATACTTCCCATTCATGTGTCTTATAGACCTCAGACTTTGTTTTTTGACTTCTTTAATCTGCTGTTATACCTATATGGCATTTTTATTTTATTTTAAATACTATTCTTTTTAGTTACAGAATTTTCATTTAGTACTTTTTGTGGTTTTTATTTATATTTATGCCAAGGTAGACTATCTATTTACAGATTGTGCCCACTTTTTTCCTTTAAATCTATCTATCTGGCTGTTTTAAACTCCATTCTTGCCAATTTTAATATCTGCGTTGTCTTGATGCCTGATTCTATGGCAACATTTTTTTTTAAGGGTCAGTTTTCCTACTTATTTGCTTCTGCAGGACGTTGTGGATCATAGTTTGTAGGAGTCCAAGTTATGTTTTCTTCTTTTAAAAGGAGCAAAGTTTTGTTCTGGCAGGCAGGTACGTTACTAGTGGATCCATTTTATCCTGCCAGGTTTAGTATTATTTTCTCGTAGAGAATGTCATTTCACTTTTGTCCTCAATATTGGGGTGTGGCTTTTAGGTCTACGTCTTTTCTCATTTTTTATGGCTTTTCTGGGTCCCAATTGAATAACCAAGGTTTTCAGGAGGTTCCCTCCATTGCAGGTAGATCTGAATTCCCAGGTCTCTTAGTCCTAGGTGAACTCGTAGTATTTAGGTCTATCTCACAGGCTCAGACTACAGTGAATGACCATGCAGACTGCTGGTACCCCCCACTCTGTGCAACTCCCTGCTCGCTAATGCTCTGCCTGCAAATTCAGCCACTTCAGGAAATGAAAATTCTGATCTGCTTTCATGGTCAGAAGTAGATGTCTTTTTGCCATAAATATGGTTCCTTAATCTTAATTCCACCGCCTAACGTTTCAGGGTAAAATGATAGTCTGGTTGAAAATCTTTAGGTTATGTGGAGTATCAGTGTTCATTGGTAGGAGTTTTCTGACCCAAGAATCTCTTGTGTCTTGGGACCCATTGTTACTGAACAATCAGAACAAAACCAAATGAAACGTTATCTTAGTCTGGCTTTTATTTTTTCTTTTATGTCATCCAACCTAAGCTAGTCCCAGTGTAAAACAACAAAGCTGTCCACAATAACAATGGTAGAATAATGTTTTATTTAAATTTTATAGTGTTAAAAATACGTATCTAGAGTCATATTCCTTTTTATGATCTCCTAAGACCATAAGAACTGGGTTGTCTACTTCATATCTTTTATCACTATATCCTCCCACTTACTCACTAGATTGTGACTCTGTCGTCTGTTGCTCAAAGCAGCACTCTAAGTGTATTTGTACGTGGTAGGAATAACCCATGTGCATGGTAAATTTCCTCTGTGACCTATTCTCCCTTATCTTACTGTGGTTACTGCTTGAGGCGCTGACCTGAGTGCAGTGTCACCTCCAGAGAGAGGCTTCTGTGAGCCTTAGTCCACATCAGCCCATCCCATCATTCTCCATCTTGGTAACCTATCTAATTCCCTGAATTGCACATTTTTCTGTGTGATATTTTACTGCGTAGACTTTAATTAATTTATTTAGTGTTGTCTCTTTCCAATAATGATGATGATGATGACTCTCTTGAATGCCTACCCTGTGCCAGGCATTTTTTAAAATTACTTCACAAACAAAAACTAAGGCAAACCTCCCAGCTCCCTTCTAAAGCTGGTACTAATCTTTTCCATGTTTCAGAGGAAAACCTGAGGCATACTGAAGTTATATAATAAGCTCCAGTTCTCTCTGCCATTAATAGGTGAGGTTGGGGTTTAACCTGGCAAGTCTAGCTTCAGAGCTCATGTTCTACCACTGTGCTAGTCAGTGTCTCAAGTGAAAATAGCTCACACGTACAGAAAACCCACTGTGTGCCAGATGGTCTTCATGGGCTTCTTACATCTTGAGTAGTTTAGTCCCACAACAACCCTGTGAGGGAGTCATGTCACTCCCAGCATTACTGCTGGAGAAACTGAGGCACGGAGAGTTTAAATCATTTGCCCAAGTCAAAAGACCAGTGAGAAGCCGAGCCTAATTCGGACCCAGGAGATCTGAACCTTGACTTTATTCTTTTTACCAGCGTGCCCTGTCACCTCTACGAGGAGGAGTCATGTTCATGCTTTAAGAGTAAACTTAAAAATTATATGAAGGAATTATATCTATATAATTCCTAAACACAAATATTTTTTGGTATATGTAACTTAAAATTCATAAATAAAATTTAATAATGGAAAGAACTTTTGATTCTTTACTAAATCCATTGTATTGATATAATATGTCTTGCTAGGTTTTACAGTTTTATCATCACTTTAATGTAAATTATTTTAAAAATCCCTGTGTTTCTCATATCTTCAATAGCATGGAAAATTAAACCTGTATCTTTAAATTATTAATATTATTTCTTTGCAGTTGTGTGGACACATGGCTATTTTGCTTTAAATTTTAATATTCTGATATTGTGCTAACATTTTGGTTCTATAATTAGATTGATGTTGATTTATTATGATGATTTTTCCTTTATAATTTGAACAAAATGCCATGTTTAAAACGTTTTGTAACAGTCAGATTTTTCTGTACTGTGGTACATTTTCTCCTTTTCTAAAGCTATTGCATGAACTAAAATAAAAATATTTATAACAATAACCCGA